GTTCAAATTATCTTAGATAGAAATTCATAAAAGTTTTTCTTTTTAATTCTAAGATTTGAGAATTTAATACAATGCTCATAATTTATTTTTACAGTAGCAGTTGCAAAATAAAAGAAATACATAGTCACAATTTTTTTTTACAAGCATTTTAATTTTAATTTTGACAACATACGTAAAAATCACGAAAATTCGCAAATTATTTTAAGCTTGAAATTCATAAATAATTTTTTTTTAAATCTAAGATTTGAATTGAAAAAAATAATGATACTTATCATTGCATTCAAATTTAACCTACCCTGTCAGAGGTCCCCCCACCCCCTAATGTACAGCACAGCGATACCCACTTACCCGCTTTTTTTTGTTTGTTTTTTCCTGTGCTCTTGAAAACTTCTGAGAATTTCAAAATTTGACTTCTCCAATGCATCAACTAGATTTACTTTCCAATCACAAAACCTACTGAAGTTAAAAATCGAAGCATTATTTCGACAAGTTATCGTGTACACAGATACAAAAAATATGGTTTCATCGCTCCAATTAGAATCTAAAATTGTTGTATGAGAATGTTAGGTGAATATCCAATGTCTGACTTTAAACGTTCGTAATATTTTAATTTGACTATTCACTTTCCAGTTAAAACTGATTGTTGTATTTTAAATAAATGTCAAATAGGAACACTTGAGGAGAATCTTGCATAACATTTTAAAAGCGTAATAACAGATACAACCATTTTATGAATTTCTAACTTTAAATAATCTGACAATTTTAGTAATTTTAATGAATTTTATCAAAATGTTAATTTCAGACAACTCATCAGAATTTTGTGGATTTACGCATATTTTTTTTCCTCTGACAACAGTTATATAACATTTTCAAGTTATTTTCGGGTAAATTTTGAATCGGTGATAATTGAAACAAAAAAATATTAAAATTTTCATATGCATATGGTATATACATAGTTCTAAAAGAGTCGCAATATTTTTAAAACTGTATGGTTCATCAATATGGCTTTAAAATTACTGTAACAAACAAATCGATTTTCTCAAAAACTGTTTTTGCTTATAAATCTTAGTTATAATACGCTATACAGTACATATTATTTATAACTCGACAAAACAAAATATTTAAACTATATATTAACCTAACTGTAATATTAATGTAAAATGATAAATGATTGTTCCTGAAAGCAGGGGCGTCATTTGGGGGGTGGCAGGGTGTGCGGTAGTACCGCTTACTTTTAGAAGTTACAATTGGCCTGCGCCTTGCTGAAGCCTAAAATAATGCACGAACCACGAATGCACAATTATTTATAGGATTAAAATCAAATTGTAATAACCAGTTTATAATATATGGAAATAATTGAATGCAGGATAATATACATATTCGTATGTATATCTATTTTTATATGGCCTGGTGAAATTTCAAAATGGCCTGCTTGAAACTTCGCACACCCGAAAAAAAACCCGAAATGACGTCCCTGCCTGAAAGCTAGGCTTGTTGTGGAGATAACTAGACAAGAGTATACTATTCACTTTTACATAATTTATTAAAAATTTAAATGATATTATTTGATTTGGTGATTATGAGACTTTTCATTTAGTTATTCAAATGTTCAATATTTTAGAATTACCGCATATATATAACAATCATAATCAATTGGAATAGATACAAAAAAAATATATATATAATACATATTATTTATTTCATAAAATAATAATTTAATTTTTATATAATAATAATATTTTTTTATGTAGTCTAAAGGTTGTAACCAAATTAATAAGTAATATCATTATGCAACTCCATAATCCATTGCGAACTTAAAGCTAGTTTTAAAGCTAGCATTAGTAGGGCTTCTTTTTCCCAAATTCTGTTTTACGTATTTAGAAATTAAATAGGTGCATACAATTTTACTTAATTCTTTTACAATAACCATGCTTAAAATTAAATAGAAATGTTATATGTTGTTGTCTATATATCTATGTAACAAAATAGTATACCTACTCGTTTTATAGTGTTTTTAATATACAATTTTTAAAATTTTAATGAAAGTTTATATCTATAGTTGTTTTAAGTAAATTAAGATGCAATAAGGTGACAAGCACGTAATATCATAAGACTGAGCCATAGTTATGAAAATCATTCTATATAGTTGAAGGTAAAAACATGTTACTAAGGGTTTTAAATGTATAAACGAATAATAATCTAACCGTTTGAGTTATATTATTAATATATTTAATACAATGTTAGGTACTATTTAAGATCAGCATCAATGGTGTAATACCTGATTAATTTACTTTTTGAACTGAAAAAAATAGAAAAGTAATTACTCTTATATTCATTACTGTTAGCGTTAATTATATTTTATTTATCACAAATATTTTTAAGCACCTTATATAAGGGGATTGCAAACGGTCAGTTGACAGTTATCTATTTAAACTAGAACGTACCAATATTTTGTCAATCATACCGTCACATCGATGGACTTAGTAATGCTATTATACTTTTGAAAAGTTATTTGAATTAGTATTATATCTACTTAGGATCGATCAGGCCAACTTTTAAAATTTTGTTACTCAACTCCTATGCATTTTGTTTAAATATTTAAATATTATGAAGTTTTATATGCTGATTATTCTAAATTTAATTTAAATGTCTTAAAATTTGGCCTGGTCGATCTCAGGAAGACTTATTAACGAATTCATATCAGTTTTCAGAATTGTTATCACGTAATCGAATCCGTCAGAAAGATCGACAAAAAATAGGTAGGTACATTTAAATGAGCACACATTGCCATTGACGCGCAATGCCGTGCGCSAGGCGTTGATTTGTACGTTCACATACGGGAGCGCTCTGCTATTTCTTATTCACTACAACAGTAGTCAGTCACACACACTACCTACCTACCTATCTAACGAGTAACGATCATTTACTACGCACGCATTTACAAGGCCACATGCATGTAATTTGAATATTGTCTACTTTTTAACTCCTTAAAAACTGTCCATTGGCAATCCCTTAGTTATTTCCGATGATAATATATATTGTGCTCAATTCCATGAAGCAAATTTTGCTTAAATTAAATTTTAAGATTATTATAAAACCATGTTTTGATTAAACTTAATCCAAGAGTAAATTTGTAATATATACATACGATTTTTATTCACATCGTAAACAATAATTTATGTATTATCGGCAAAACAAAAAATTAATACATCACAGTTTGTGTTTAATAAGTCATCAATTCCATGAATCAAAATAAAATATAATCACTTAAAGTATCATTTAAGGGTCCCGCAGACTGCAGCAGTAGCAGTGACTGGCAGTAACGATTCAGGCAAAATATTAAGCCGTACACAATTTTACCGCCGCTGCAGTGTGTGGTGACCTTAACTCTTCATTGTTAATTAAGATTTTCTAAGATATTACATATCAGATTGTTGCAATGGTCCTGATACTGTATTTTTCTAGTTTGGCAATTAATAAAATTGAATAGTTGAAAGAATCATAACTTTTTTTACATCTAGAAAAAAATCCTATTACCTACTGCATTTCTCTCATGTAATTTGTTATAATATAGTATCTAAATATTTATATGAGTCGTATATAAGGCTTGGATTTAAATGTTTTGAAAATACTAAAAAAATGCAATTTAACATGTAAAATTGTGTAGGTACGTTTATAAATATAAAAATAATGAATAAAGATTTAAATTTAACATATTACATTTGTATTACACTGTACAGTGAGAATTTATTTTGACAAATTACAATTGTATTACATTGTACAATGAAAGTTTTTTTAATATTTTGAAATTTAAATGATCGACGGTTGTGAGCTAATAAGTTTTTATACACTGAAAATGACCTCTCTACAACAGCTGAGGTGATATAGGAGATAACCAGATTACCTGATGTTATATAATTCAAAATTAAAATGATTTATATTACGTATAGTACTATTTTATATCTCAACAAAGTTAATATTTTCAGTTATAATAAGTTGAAATAACTGAACACAGTTTTAAAAAACCTCTAAAACGCACCAAAAAATATTGAATCCACTAAAAATGTTAAAAATTACTCAAAAAAATGCCGTGGTAACAACATGGAGTACTTGAAACATATTTGTAGTTTGAAAAGAATTGAATAGGACACTTCGTAAAAAAAGATGCAAATACATTGTAATCTGAGCCCTGTGTCCGTGTAATAATGTATATGATTATAATTACTATTATTATTATAATTATAATTACTGACTACTGTTAGCTTTATCGGAGGTTTTATTTCTCTTGAAGCCAAGTTGGTTCTTTAAAAATATTGAGCATCGTGTTTCTAAGAATATAAACAGTCTATCTTTAATGCATTTTTCCAAAACATTATTAAGTGTAATTGTAAGTGTTGTGGCATGTTTTTTTCATTACTTGTAATAGAATGGTAATAGCATTTTTGAATATACCTATGTGAAAAAAACCGCCTGTAGTAAGAACGAGATAAAAAATATAATTTAATGGTGTAAGAATATTATAAAAAAAATACCTACCTATTATAAATGATACCTTTTAAAATTGTGTTTGTTAACTCTCCCACCTATTAAACGTAAAAGTTGATTTTAATATTTTTCATCAGGTAGTATATAATAATATATATTATCATGTTTTTAGTTTATTTGATGTGTTGGTACCTATATAGACAAAAAAAAAGAGTTAAATTCATTCGCAATATTAATGTTATCTGTTAAAATGTTGTTTTGCTGATTTAGGTAGGATGTTGTTTTCTTTGTTACGTTTATTATGTAGGTTAGTTTATTATGTAATACAGGGGTCTCCAAATTACGGCTCTCTAAGTTTTTCAAACCAGCCCACTAAGCTAATTGATATTTTGAAAGTTAGTTTTAAATAAATTAGTTATTGAAAACAGTTCTCATACATCTTTAATTGAATTACCACATCTCTATCCCTACCTGATAAAATGTTGGCCCATAATGCTAAAGGATATACAATTTGGCCAATCGCAAAAAAGGTTGGAGACCCCTGATCAAATGATTCGTTGAATTCCAATATTTTTGTAGTACGCATATTAACTTTTGCATTAGAGATTTGATTTTAAAAAATTGTATTTTTTTGCTGTTTTTATGGTTACATTTAGAAGATTCCTATATTTTTATATTTCTTTTTTAAAATCTACTATTAAGGTATTATTACCTACCTACTCTTTTATTATTACCAAATGGTTGATTTTTTAATCATACATACAATCTATTTCTATTTCTTATAGAATTAATAATTCCAAGTGTTATCCAATCTTTTAATAATTTCTTTGTATTAGATAATTGTTTTATTTTAGCTACTTGTATTATTTTTATGCGATTTTTAATAACATTTGGAAGAAAAACAACTAATTTATTTACGTCATTTAAATTTAATACTCCTGTCCGATTTGTATTGTTTAATTTATTATTTTGTGAAGAACATACCTAGTTGGTGACTATACTGACCCATAATCACACTTTAATAAATGTACATTTTTTGTTTATTTCTGATGAAAATGTGATCAATACATATGGTTATTACTTATTAATATATTATTGCCGTATTTCTATCGTTTATAAATGGTGTATGTAATACAATTTATACACGACATAAAGCTATAGTTACTAAGTAATTTTAAATATGTAATACAAATTATATCCTCAATCTTTATGCTTGAAATTTATATCTCCTAAGATTGTAATATATGATTGAAATTCGGAGATATTACTCCTTTAAGAAATCTTCTAAATTCCTAATAAAATTTGTTTTATTCAAACTAGATGATGGTTTATAGATGTATGTAAATTTTATTAAAATATTATTAAATTAAATTGAAAAAACTAATGAGCTACAGTGATTAATACCTTAAATTATTACATCATTTACTATTATAAAATCTTTAAATGTAAACAAAAATCCCATCATATATATTTAATGAGCTATAATAATTGTAAAACTAATAACCTTTTATATCAAAGTTACATATATCACTATCCATATTTAAGATAACACAATATCGGAATATATATATTAGCTGAAAACAACTAATAATTCATTTACTGATACTTCTAGAGAAAAGACAGTCTAGTAGGTCATCATTCTGCACACTAACAGCATAGCATTCACTTGTTATAAACGTTTGGTGGAACTTAGTTGAAATTTTTATTATTAGATAAAAATTTTTAAATTAAGTTTTTTTTAGTAAAACATTAAATCTTTTTTTTCAAACAGTACATTTTATTAAAAAATTAATTATTTAACAAAATAAAACTATTCTTAAAGTACTCCAACTTTTTGTCAATATCAAGATTTTGAAGAGCGTGTAGGTTTATATCTACTGTACTACGGTATGTATTTTAATCTCCTTCTTATTTTCTTAAGTAAATACCACCAATATTAAATTACACGAATTTTTACCCATATGTTTTTAAAATTTCTTTATTTCTATTACCGAACAGAATTTTTTTTTATTTTATTTTTTTTTTTTTGGTTGATAATTCATAAATATTTTATCTTCAAAAAAGTTAGTACCTATGTAAATTAGGTATTAGAGATTTTTTTTATATAATGTATTTTATAGACTTTATAATACCTAGTCTTTTAAGATTATAGAATTTAATTTAGATGCGATTAAAATTTTACGAGTGAATATCCAATTTTTTTCAAAATTTAAACTTGGGTAAAACCTTGTATTCAAATGTTAAGCTTATTATTGAATGAGTGCAATATTTTTTATCAACATCAATAATTAAATCATTGCATACCAAAAACGATTCTTAACGGAGATGACTTGTCAGCCTATATTGGGCTCCAGTCTACTATAAATATATTATTTTATGATCTATTATTGTGACATATACTATTATCATTATGCTTCTATTAATCGGTTACATTTATCTACAATATAAACCTAAGTTATTCTCTATAAATAAGGTATTAATATCTATACCAAAATGTAATCTATGACTATTATTAATACCTTTTACCTAAATTTTAATTTAATGTGGGCTAAAACTTGAGTTGTTGAAGCATTTGCGCCTTATTAAAAAAAAAAATTGCTGTTACAGTAATTTATTTTACAATTAGTAATATCGGGTAGGTTGAATTAATTTTTGCTGATAATAACATTGCATTCAAAAATCTCATTGTATTTAAAATACCAGTACATTAAAAGTTTAAAGTAAGTTTCTTTAGTACCTATCCATTTTTCAAAAACGGGAATTTTTTTAATTACGACAAAATCGCATAAACATTTTTATTTAAAATGTCTATAAAAAAATTGTGTATTATTTATTTTTAAGATCTTTTGGATACAGTACCTATGAATATTTTAAATTTAAATCGAAAAGTTTTACTATATCCATTATGAAATTTTAATCGGCATTAATAAAAGAATAAATACTTTTCAAAACAAAAATTTGAAATATTAAAAAAATTGCTATTATTTAAATAAAATGCTGATATAAGTTAAAATTTGTAAGTTATTTATTTTTGAGTTAAATCATAGGTACAAATAATTTTTACCTAACAAATCGTCTCCATTATTCGTACGATAATCAAATTAATTTAAATATCTATTACTTATAGATTCTAAATCCTGACTTCATATGGACATGCATGGTACTATAACTATGTAAAATATAGATGTGTTTAAATCAATTTATTGTAAGAGTATTTTAGAGTTATTAAAATGTATATATAAGTATTACTATGAAGTTTGAATGATAATAGTCCTTAAACGTTGTTGTACAAAAATATCAAATATATGTAACACCTGTCTGTTGAATCTAGTATTGGATAATGTTTATAATTAAAATTATTCTTGTACAACATTGAATATTTGATTGCGTGAGAACATAAAATGATAATTTGAGGAGGTATTATCGGGATGTTTCAAGTTTTTAGGATCAATAACTTTTGAATTAAAAACAATACAAATCGTTTGAGAATAAATCAAATATAAAATATATGTGTGAACAAAATGTCGTAAGACTTGAACTTCCGACCATGCATAACAAATCATTAATATTTTTTTTTTAATTTTACCCTTAAGTGCCGAACATAATCAATTTTATTTTAAAACAAAAATAGAAAAAGACCATACATAATTCTAGATAGTTTTATACATTTAAATATATGATCTGTAAATATTTTAAGTCTTTTAAATTATTATTTTATTTACTACCAAAAATAATCAAAATGAATTGAATGAAAAATATTAAAATTATTCACAATTATCTTTAAAGGAAACTATATACCTACACTCAAGCGACAGATTCTGGTTAAAATTCTAGTTTAAAACGTTATTTTCTTTTATGTGTATATTATTTACAGCACCTAAACACTTTTTAAGTAATGGTAATTAAAATACATTGGTTATTTTACTAAAACTAAACTGTTTTATACACGACATGTACCAGGTGATGTGTGCAATCTTGACATTTTGACATATCGTTAATGATATTTTATTTACCTTTAGAAGTTGTGATTGGGTGTAATGAGAAAATGTAATAACAATTATGAAGCCATCGACATTTAATATCTGTCAATCAAAAAATTAATTAATTTTCCTTATATAAATATTAATAATCTTGACCCTTGTTCAATCATCACCTTAACGTTACTTGATGTATTTTAATTATTTTCAGTTATTGGATATTTACTTATAACTCCTGCTTAATATTAAAACAGGGACACGATCTCTATAAATAAGATCGACAACGGCTGACAATTATCAGTTCACCAAAATTCTGCAAACCATATCCACAATTTTCTAAATATTTTATTCAAACAAGGTATATAGAATTTTATACATGAATTTAGGCATAATTTTATAAGGGTAGTAGATATTTTGGAGGTATTTTAGTTCAATATTTAAAAGTTGTATTTGGGTGTAACTTGGGTAATTTATATATAATCCAAAACTTAATTTAACTTTTTTTTTGTTTTTGTATTATTTATTTTAGAATACAATGAAGATAAGTCTATATTTGAGTGTACTCCTCTTGGCATTATTGATCGAAATCGCAACAGCTAATGTTAGAATTCAACGTTCGCCTCAACAATACTGTGGTTCAAAATTGGCAGACATCATGAAAATTCTATGTAAAAACAAATACAATGGGCCGAATGGACAAAAAAGAAATCAAATTGGTAAGTTAATAATTTATACCTCACTTTAAAGTTTAAGCTAACCTAAGAATAATAATAAAATTCTAAGATACGTAAATTTAGATTACCTAATTCATCATTGTTAATTCAAATTGAAAGTTCTTACAACTTAACAAATTCTAATACAAAATAATGAAGAAAAAGTTTTATTTTCTCAGTATAGGATTTTAATAATTAATTAACACATTACTAAACTGTATTAGAGAAAAAAAATTACCTATTTACTCCATTCAAAATCTAAACATTATTAAAATAATAAGACTTTAATATTTTATTAACAGATTCTGATGTATGGGATTACAAAGACCTAGAAGAATACAGTGCTATGGACTACCCATACCTACCTAAGAAAATAGCAATGGCATTTATGCCCTCACGCTTATTTCGCCCTAACAAAAGAAGTATCATCGATGAATGTTGCCGCAGACCCTGCTATTTATCTGAACTAAAAACTTATTGTGCAAGTCAGTAGTGATTGACTTAGTTATAAGTGATGTTAGTCGCTGAATAAACTATTATTACCTATATATACATAATATATCTATTTATTAAAATCCATTCCTCAATGGGCTTCATGGGGGGATGATTGTGCATAAAATATATCGTATAAAAGGATAAACATATTTCATATAAAAATGATATGTAGCATAAGTGTCTGACAATAAATACAGCAATTATTGAGATTCTAATTTTATTTTACAAATGTCTTCTCGGTGAATAATGAAACTATTAAATTTACTTTTAATACACAAAATAGTTAATTCAAATCTAAGTATTTAATACTAAATTCAAGTAGGTAAATTTCTAAATTGTAGATACCTGTCTAACTAAATATAACTATGTAAGCAATTAATGTATTGTTATTTATTATAAATTATAACATAACATTTAATAGGTATTGAATAATAAATATGATAAATATTTATTATGTTCTAGTAAAAATAATTGGATGACAATAATATATGATATAATATAAAATTAATTGTATACATTTTATTTCTACTTAGATATTATACTACAATTTTGTATAATTTTTAATTTTTATTAGGTAAATTTCGTAATAATTTATTAGACATTATCCGTGCTAAAAATTAATTTTTACAAATAGATATAAAACAAATGTCTACTATATAAAGTCTAATCCATATTTAAATAATGATAAACCAACTTAATTTGTTACTTGCCATAATTTATTCAAGTGCATAACTGTTCGACTTAGGAAACGTAGTTGGCGGCCGACTTGTGCTCAAGGGCGTGGCAATACTATGTTGGTATGTAGACAATTGGGACGTATCATAATAGGATCCCCGATAATATTTATGAGAAAGATAGACTACTAATGGATCCGACTATAAAACTGTAACTTACGAGTATCGATATAATTGTTAAAAACAATACAATTAACCCTTATGTAAAAATATACCTAGCAACGAATTGCAGTATTATTCCAAATATTAAACGTTATAGCATGCTAGTATTTGCACTTCAGTAGCTTTTCCAATGGAAAAATGAATCTAGTTAGAGCATTGGGGAGGTCCAAATTTTTAAATCCATAGTAGTTTTCAAGAGAAATGKGGGGAAAAAAACAAGAATTTTTAAGCAAAATTGGTTTTTGAGATAATCTATTTTGCATATTTGTGTAATCATCTATAAAACAAATTACCCCAACTACATTAAATTTTAATTGAATGTTTATATTAGAATTTCTTATACTTGAATTCAAAATATTTCAATTTTTTTTAACGTTTTAACACACATTTGAAACTTTCAATCTTTTTAATTTTTTTTTTTTTAAATGGCAATAAAATTTTATTCGTTTAGTAAAAAAGCTTAAAAATTAATATATTGTCATTATGGTAGTTAAACAAATATTAAAAATACATAATCACGATTTATTTTAATAAGCATTTAAAGTTCGAATTTTGATAAAATATGTAAAAATCACGAAAATTTGCAAATTATAATATTGAGTAAAAATTCATAAAAATGTATTATTATTATCTAAGATTTAAAATTCAATACTAGATTCTTCATAAGTTAGTTTACTTTTATCAAATAAAAAATATCTACCGGAAAATCAAATTAAATTTATATAAGCGTTTGAATTTCAAAATTTTACAACATTGGATATTCACTCGATTTCTCTTGTTTATTTTATCGATTCCTGTACTTCACACAATTTTCTAAATATTTCAACATTTTTTTACTTATTTATAGACATAAGATTTTTAATTTTCAATTTTTTTTTTAGGTTTTTATTGTATACATTTCAATAAAATATTATTCGTTCAGTCAAAAAGGTTGAAAATTACATACAATATAAGGTTCCTGATACATTTAGGTATATATAACAGCAGTTGGAAAATATCAATAATATGACGTGAGCACGTTTTTTTCTATCACTGTTTAAACTTCAAATTTTTACAAAATTTATTAATTATTTAGGTGTAGAAAATTTTTTAAAAGTTTAATTTTTATAACTAAAATTTTATTGAAAGTTTAAAATAAGGTTTCAAGTAGTTTATTTTCTAACAAAAAAAATCCAAAAGTTCAAATTTGGACGAAATTACATATTAAATAACTAAGAATAAMAATTTTAGCAATTAGTAGATAATAGTATTAAAAAAAGGATAGAAAATATTTACGATATTTAAAATATTACATTGTGAATTAAACAATGATGCCTAAAATTTAACGCATAGTTATAATGATTGTATTTTAATCCAAAAAAACAAAATATATACATTACGATAGTAAAGCTATAGGTATAGCCAAACATTCCGAAAAATATTGATGACATTCAGAATATTCTAGATGATTTAAAACTAAAAATTTTGAGACGAAAATTTATTATTAATTATATACTACGTTTATATGATGGCGTTAAGACGCTCACACTATGTAGTTTAAGAATTTAAAACCGATTTAATTTCAAACTGTTTCAAATGTTTTAACGCCATCATATATAAATGTAGTAAATGATAATGCTTGTAATATTATAATTAATATAATTTTATTTACTCTAAAATAGTAGACGATTTAAAAATTGTATGTTAAAAAATATTATATATCATATATTATATAGGTGGAACACTCAAAAGTGTCTCGAACATTTTAATAAAATGTCTACAATCCATACAATATACCTACACAATAATTTTTAAGTTCCTTTAATTCTTTGATTACTCAAAGATAATTAGTAATTTAAAGTAAAAAATACTATTAATTACCTACACTAACTTTTCAATAATTAGTCGAAAATATATTAAAGATAGTTTAATTCTTAAACAGAATTTTTATATGCAGATTTTGAAGAACGCAATTCATTATAGCTACTCTTTCAATATGACTGGAAATTATTATTAAAAGCTGTTAGTTTAACCTTCACAAATCAGGTAAAGAAAAATATAAGCTTTAGAACTAAGTAATAATGACTAATGAGTATAAACAAAATTCTGAACTAGGTAAATACTTGAAATTTTTTCTGGATTACCATTATTAAGGCCAGAAGAAATTAAAAATTGCTTTATAAAAGATCTATATAATACCTAATAATAATAAAAACCTAATAATCAGGGATTTGTATGCAATAAAAAATTTTAGAATATGCAAAAATATGCATTTTAATTTCTATCTTAGATTTTATATTGATCGACATACTTTTATTAATTGTGTTTATCTTTCTCCGTAAAACTATTCAAATATTCAATCTTTAATCACATACTTATTGTACCATAAGATTGTATTTATAAAAATAAAATTTGTGTTTGACAAAAAAACCAAGTTTTATACTTTAATCAGCAGAGCTAGAATGAAATACGAAATAATAATTACGAAATATACTATAAAACATGCATTTTTCGCATTCAAAAATGTATGAGTAAAATAAATAGATTTGACATTATAAAAGCTCTTTCATTTAAACAATAGAAACTTAAAAAATATAACCATTTGTTTGATTATTATTAAAATAGCAGTTTAATGCACATCTTATAATTTTCTTTTAACAATGCCTGTGTTCTAATTTGCAGATCACTGACAATACCCTAGGTCTGTATAAATGGTAAAGGATATGTTTTTTTAAACTAATTTGAGTAGTACCTGCAAATTTGTGAGACTCAGCTATTGTACTACCTGTAAAACTCCGGGGCCTAACTAATATAAGTAAGGATCTTGCAGACCCAACTAGTAAACTTCGGATAATTGACTAGGTGGGGGTGACAACCAGTTGTTGCCAGACTGAGGACCAAACGACCGGTCGCCACCGGCTACGTTTCTTAAGTTTAACAGAATACTATACCTACTTCAGCCGAAATTTTAGATACCTAATCCTATTTCTTGTAACGCATATTATATTATATAAGTCATGGCAGCAAATCAAAAAAGTTTGATATACCTACTTTATCTGTCATATATTTTGTTTTTTAAATATTTTAAGTAACAGATATTATATTACAAGATTCAATGGGTGGATGGGGGGGAGACCTTTTGTCGTGGGATATATGAACCTAAAAAGTCGTGGGCCTAATGGGTTTGTCAGCGAATCAAGCACACGCCAGAGCTGCCTAATCTAAATAAAAATTTATTTTGTATATAACCTGATATAAAATATATATTATTTTCCGTGTGAATCAGTAATTGACTTTTTCTTTTATGAAATTTCTCTAGATAAATAAATTGTTAGCTAGAGATTCTGTCAAAATGTCTATGTAATATACTTTTTTTATGTGATACGATTTGTAAGTACTTCTAGCACTATATATTCTTGGCACAATTTATTTATTTCAGTAATAGTTGCAAATAAAATTTTCAATTAATCACCGAATTTAAATGTACCTATATATACCTAAACCTTTTCATGTTTTTGCGCGATTAATCACAGCGTTTCTTAAGATAGGGACGCGAGCAATTGTCTATAATAGTGTGCAAGACACTTGATATGGTGGCATGGTGCAAAATAGAAAATTTAGTTGGTGGTTATCAGAAAAAAATTCACAAAATCTAAAAAAATCTACATAAAAATAAGTCACAAAAAAAAAAAAAAAACAAAAATATAAAATATAATTATTTTTCTCGTGGAGGTAAGTTGTAATTATAGTGATTAATGAGATTGTGTCAATATTTAATATTAGGTTGGTTTCTACTTATTCCTAAGATGGTACTCATGATTATAATTATTGCTTTATACCTAGCTATGTAGGTATAGACTTTAATCAAATATGTACCATAATATTAGCTAATAAATAATAACTAATTAGGAAGAGTTACCAAAAAATAGATATAAAATAAATGTATAATACTATTACCTCACTACCTCAGGTATCTATCTATTATATATTAATATAATATAGGAAGATACGCTATTCATAGAAATACAACATATTTTAAATAAATCGATTAGTTAATAAATTATAAATTTATAATATACCACAATTAAAGAATATAAACCTTAAAATTTAAATCGTGTTACCTACAACCATTGATTAAATATACAATTTAATATTTATATCATAGACCTTATGTCCTT